GCTCCGCCATAGCCGACGCCTCCGCGACCTCGCCGTCGCTGACAGCCTCCCCGCGTCGGCCCCTGCCCTGCGCCGCCTCTACCTCAGTCCGGGCACGGGGTGCAGGACGACGACTGCGGCCGCCGGCCTCCCCACGACCAACCGAGGCGCCCAGGAGGCCTCCCCGACGACCAATCGAGCCATCCCTTCGACGCCGCCGCCGCCAACCCCAACCCTGACCCCAACCCCTCCGGCGACCGGCCGCGCCCGCCCAGGTACCTCTCCTCCTTCCTCCTTCCTCCCTCTCCTCCTTCCCCATGGAGAAAATGATATAGCTCCTCCTACAACATGTATAGATCAATCAGTTCAGTTCTAGTGCTGCTGGACTTTTGCACCATACAAAAATGTACTACTAGTTGAAAATCTTTACTTGAGAGAGCTTCATAAGTAGAAGGTTCCAAAGAATAAAAACCAGTACTAGCACACTAGCACAGTAGTACTGCCACCTCCCAGAGTGTTGAAAATCTTTACTTGAAAGCCTGCAAATGCATGTACACACAGGTAGGGAATGTAAGATGAAGCATGTACTTTACCAACTAATCTAATGGGCTGGCACAAAGTGAAAACCAAAACAATAGTTAATCAAGCAGAGGTAGATTAGATTAGATGGCAAAAAGCACAAATGTCCCTGCCTATCCATTTTTTTCTCAAGTTGAGCTGGTAAGTTTCAGATGTTCAATGATGCTGTAGGAAAAATTGGATGAAGAAAGATGTGTGTGGCTGCCTGAGAGAAGTATTTGCACAAACAAATTATAATTAATGTGTTGATGAAATTTTGGGTTTTCAAATTGGAACCAAAAACCAACCCATACCTTTAGACTCTTTTGGAATTTCCTGAACATTTTTTTTGTTTGTTCCCTTTCACTGTTTGGGGACTTTTGACTTCAGAATGAACCTTACTAAGATTCAATTAAGACTAATTAACTGCATTTGATGTCACTATATTCTATGAATAACTTCAGTTATGATCTGTATTGGAAAACTTCAGTTAACACTCATTTTTCAGTTAACTCCTTACAGTTCAGATCATATTTTGATTGTCAATAATAGTGGACTTTTAAGGCTTTCTTAGAGGCAATACTAGTGGATTTTAGGCTTTTTTACATGCAATAATAGTGGAATTTTAGGCTTTTTTGTAGGAGTGTGTTTCATGCCGGCCTACAGTGATGAATTAGTCAAAGGATTGTGCCTTAGGATTGTGCCAAAGCTACCCATTGTATCTATTTGCTTGTCATTCAAATAGGGGCAAGACTGTTACAAAAAAATTACTTGCAAGCATATTGTGATTTACTTGCAAGCATATTGTGCCTTAGTTACAGAAAAATTACTTGCAAGCATATTGTGGTGACCCACACTCTGTTGGTTCACACTCATTGAGTTCGCTCGTGAAGGGCCGCTGCCGCTTGAGGCCCTTGAGAGGCCCTTCGTGTCGTGATGATTTTGCAGGTACCCCGAGAGGCCCTTGAGTTTGCCGGAATGTCGATTAACTTCCGTTCCGGCAAATTCGGGTACTCCATATGTCCTATTTTCAGCAAAGGTCATGCTGAAATTTTCCGTGAGTTTTAGCATGACTTTGCTAAAAATTAGACATATGGGGTACTTGCTACTAATGCATGGGCCGGGGTATCTTAGTACTTAATTAAGTAGGATCAACTGCCCCTTTATTCTTGCTGTATTAAACCATAGGTGGCAATAGAGCCAAGTGATTAGTGCCAAGTGATTAGGCCCAACCTAGGGTGCCTCGGCATCGATAAACCCTAAATGATGAAAACTTAACTTGGCTGCCCCAGATGCCTCGGTGTCGATGAGAACCTAAATGATGTACGCTTAGGCTTTTAGGGTGCCTCGGCGTCGACAAACCCTAAATGATGAAAGCTTAGGCTTTTAGGGTGCCTCGGTGTCGACAAACCCTAAATGATGAGACCATGATCTTGTTCCTTGACAATAACCAACTTTTTGACCAAACTTTTTTCCTATTTAAAGCGAAACATGGCCCACAACGATGAGGCCGGTGGTTCGGGCGGCAAGCAATTCTGGGAGCTGTCCCAGGATATGTCGTCATCATCATCGGCCGAGGAAAGTCTCCCGGCGGAGTGCGACTGGTGCCATGACAATCGAGGTATGTGCGACATGCCTCACCTGGACGATGATCGGCGCTTCAGCATTAAGCTCGAGGAGACCTTCGAAGTTGAAATGGTACACAACGACGACAAGTGTTATTTTCATAATTAAGCATGACTTCAACTATTTCAATGTGTAATTTTCATCTTTTACAATTCGAGTATAGCTTATCCCATGCCATGCAAGACGCTATGTCTTGGAGAGGATGGATTTTGAAGACCATGAAATTTCTGAAACAAAGAAAATTCACCTAAGGGCTCATCACGATGTGGACTTTGAAGTAAATCTATATAATTCTGAGAGCGTAACCCATTTTGGTTGCAAAAATTGGGAAGCATTTTGCAAGATGTATGGTTTTGATGAGGGTATGCTTATCACCATGGATCTTGGTAATCCTGACATCAACCAAAACAATATGGACATTTGGGTCCTTGTTGATATGCCTCCAGTTCTACCGCTATGTGAGTTTCTCAAACATAGTTATTAGCTAAATTATATTGTTTATTTCAAAATAGTTGACAGCTTATTTCCATTGACAGCTTATTTTTATTGTTCAAAGAATATGCGGGAGATGGTAGACAAAACCCACTACACCGATGGCTCCGAATTAACAACTTATAAGAAGAAAAACCATCTGGTCGGATTTTGTACTGACATTGAGAATTACACTATCCACAAACAAACTCCTCAACATTATGGTAAATACGTGCCACTAGTGCATGTGTTCAACTACGATAACTACCATGGAGATACCCTGGTAAGATTTTTACTATTACGACATCCGTGCATCTTTTGCATACTTCTAAAACTAGTACATCATTGCTAACTATGAAGTTATTACTATGTTTTTCAACAGATAATCCCAGAGAATTGTGTGCCTCATATGATGTATCTGAAAGGTAGTGTTAATGTTTTGAACATACAACCAGGTCGTCCTACGAATCTCAACTGTCCATACGAGATTTCTAAAAGAAGTGGAGACATGAAAATCAAAGGATGGAAAAAATGTATGGACAGTCGTAAGGAGCTTCTTGGAAGCAAAAGGAAGCGAATCGCAAGAATTGGAGACAGGATGTTCTCCATTCTCCATAATGGAGAGTCAGGGTCTATATTGTTTTATGCTATTTTAGCTTAAATAGGTTATTTAGGTCCTGCCTAATACTGATGATCATGTGCTAAGAACAATTAAGTAGGGTTGGTTCGAAGACTATCAAGATGATGATCGTATGACTTGTTATGAATAACGAGTAGAAGTTGTATGATGATGATTAGTAGGACTTGTTAGGATTAGTATTACTTCCGACAAACTCGATACTCACGGTCTTGAGACTTGTAATGTTTTATCTTTGTTCGGTCTTTTGAATTCGGAGACTAATATGATGAATTGTATTCGAAGACTAATCTTCTATTGTATTTGATGAATCTGATGTTGCTGTGTGCTGCTGTCTATATTCTTTCTAATAATATATTTTATATTCTGTCTAATAATATATTTTGTAACCTGCGCAAAAATCAGAAAAGGAAAAAAACCAAATATTCATACTAATGGCGCATCACCACCAGGTGCGCCATTAGTATGCCAAAGGATACTAATGGCGCATCAACAGAGAATGCACCATTAGTATGACAAAGCCATGCTTACGTATGGCCCCCCGGGAGGCACACTAATGGCGCATGCTGTTACATACTAATGGCGCACTAGTTGGTGCGCCATTAGTAACCAGATACTAATGGCGCACCTGTGGTGCGCCATTAGTAAGATATACTAGTGGCGTGCTACTAATGACGCACTGGTAATGCGCCATTAGTAGGCAAAACCAGTGCGCCATCAGTAGGCCTTTTCCTAGTAGTGATAGCTTGCGCAAACAGCACCATTGCAACCTTCTCAGGGCTGGTTATTGCTATGGTCTCATGGAACCTGTCTCCAACATCATTTTACCGAAAAAGGCTTTCACCCAGCTTTATATTATAAAGCACATGCCCAAGCCAACAATCCATAGAGGTTCAAACACACACACACACACCAAGTTCAAACAGAACACAGGATCCATAAGGGTTAATGCTGAGGGCACAGCTCAACAAGCCCTAGAACACAAATA